GCTGTAATGCTGGATTGATCCTTTTAAAACTAATGGAAAACTTGCATTAAAAATAGCTTAGTTTACTGCTGCTTTCTGCCTTGCTGTTGGCTCAGAAAAGTGCTAACAGGTTCTTTTATTTCATTTCTAGCTGGTTCTTGTAAAAGCAGTGTGAAGGCAGAAGAGGCCAAGAGGCCGCTGGAGCCATGGATCTTCCCAATTACAGCAGACAGTTGCTACAACAGCTGTACGCTCTCTGCAAAGAACAGCAGTTCTGTGACTGCACCATCTTTATTGGAACTGTGCATTTCAGAGCGCATAAGCTTGTGCTTGCTGCTGCCAGTCTGCTCTTTAAGTCTGTGCTGGATAGCACAGACACCATCTCCATTGATGCTTCTGTGGTGGCTCCCGATGAGTTTGCTCTCCTACTAGAAATGATGTATACTGGCAAGCTCCCGCTTGGCAAACACAACTTTACCAAAGTCATTTCTGTGGCGGACAGTCTGCAGATGTTTGACGTGGCCGTTAGCTGCAAAAACCTCCTCAGAGACCTCATCAGCTGTTCTGCTCAGGAGCAGGTAGTGAGGGACACCTCTGGTCTGACCAAGCCATCTGGAACTATCGAAGCTAGTGATTCAGCCCAAACCAAAAGCCCTCCTGCTGATGGTATGACAGAGGCTCAGCCTCCAGAAGAGGTTGCAGTGTCTCCTGGCCCCGCAGAATCTGAAGTGGAAGCTGTCACCTCTGCCTCTGTGCAGGACGTTACCATGAATCACACCTTCATGCAGGAGGAGATTCTGGAAGAGGAAAACCCAAGTGACTCCAAATCCCTTGATGAGGATGCACATGCCCCTGATGACCCCCAATCCCTTGCCAGACTGCAGAGCTGTGAAGAAGTGGTTGCTGAGCCTCCGGAGAAGAAAGAAAGAGTTGGTGATTCAGGTGAGAGACTCAGGGTCTGGTCATAACTCTGTCTCCAGCAATTTTCGGTTGAGGTCACAGGTATAACTGATAAGATTTGAACCCTGGGCACAAACCACAGAGATGCTGCTGCTGCCAGGGAGAAGTGACAGCAGTGCCACCAGCAGACAGGGTCAATACCCCCTTGATCTCCTGCCATGGCTCCGTGCTGCCAAATCCCATCACCACTGGACTGTAGCAATGCTGAATCTGGTGGCACTGGCCTTGACCTCCATCCTTGCCATGAATGCTGCTCCACCTCCCATCACTGGAGCCCTCTTTACCTTGGCAAGTGGGTCCCTCGCACTGATTGTCCATCAGTAGTTATGCTACCGACTGAACTTCTTAATGGGACCCTGTTGCGTGGGTGGGGGTTGAGTTTATTTCTCTTTATTTTCTATTCTCTTTATTTTATAAAGGGGTCCCCCTGCTATTGAGCAATTCTGTAGCAAAGATCCTCTTCCTCTTTAACCCAACACATCCCTCTGGGGCATTATACGGCACCTATACACATGATGGACCTCTACTCCGACATGTGCTAATTAGCACGTGTTGGAACAGAATTGATGAATTGAGTCTGCTGTGTGTCGTCTGGAGCATGCTAATTAGAGTGCTGCAGCAGCCTCTGTCACATATTCAGCATCCCCACACTTCAAAATGGTGCCAGGGTGCTTTAACTAAAGCTCACCCCTTCCCCTCCATCCTGGAGCATGTGTATAAATGCCCATAAAGTCTGGTTCCTGACGTTGTGCTCGTACCACTCACCTGAGCTTCTCTGAGCAAAGCCTGCCTGGCCTATATGTATGCTTCCACATCTGACATGTACAGGCAAGGCCATGTTCAATGCAGAGGTAAGGCAATCTGCATAAAGACAGGTGAGCAGAGAAGCCTGTTAATAGCTTATCTTTCCAAACTCCTGGTTAGCATGTGAAGAAGTAAAGGTTGCCCTGGATTCAAGGTAAATATTCCATTTGCAAGCAGTGTCAAATGCACTTGCCCCCCTCTAGGCTGCATGTCGCCTTCAGAAAGGATCTGTCAAACAGGTTTTCCTTGTGGTCTCCAAAATGTTGGCTATAAATTGATGCTGTTCACTCACATTATATTTATGAAAATTCCTTCAGTCAGCAAGCAAGGTTCTTTGAGTAGATGTGATATCTTTTATCAGACCAACTGAGTAGTCGGGGAAAAAGTTCTTAGCAAGCTTTCAGGCACATTTACCCTTCTTCAGGTGAAGGTGACTGCGCTCTTCAGGAGGGGTGACTGCACTCAAAAGCTCGCTAAGAACTTTTTTCCGACTACTCAGTTGGTCTAATAAAAGATATCACATCTACTCAAAGAACCTTGCCTGCCCATGTCCTTAGACCAACAAGGCTACAATCAAAAATTCATTTGGCAAATAACTCATCTTCTTCTCATACACAGAGTCAGGGAGCAAAAGCTGTGAACTGGATTTCCTGCTTCAGTATGAAAATGTTTTCTCAGAGGCCCTTTCTGACACCCCGGCTGTGCTAAAGAGACTGCACGAGTGTGGAGAACTTGACATCTCTCAGAAGGAGGTAGGTTTGTGTGTTGGGTCGGTAAGAGGTCTTCTCCCTCTCCTTTCTCTTTAAATATACAGATTGTGTTGCAGCCCATGCAGAAAATTCCTTCACCAGGTAAGTCAAAAATTCTAGTGCTTGAAGACATGGCAGTGTCTAAAAATGGTGCCACTCTGGCTAAAGTGTTCTCTCTGGCTCAAGTGTTCTTGTCTTTCGTGGGAGGGGAGGGGACAGCGTAGAACAGCACATTGTGTGAACAGAGCAACAGGGAGATTGGCATGGGATTACAGGGAGCTAAGGCTCCTGTGTCATATTGTCTAATCATGTGCGTTCCTGGACAGCGCCCGTAAGAGGAGAGCACCTCTGAGAATACGGCGGCGGGGATGTATAGTGCAGGAAGTTAAACCTACCCAGCACCTTCTACTTGTAGGGAATTATCAGTTTTGGAAGGACTGTCATATGACCTGGCAAAATAACATTTCTTTGCCCCCAGTGAAGCTTCATAGTGAGAAGCTGCTAGTTCTGTGCACAAATAAGTCTATCATGAGCAACACAAGGAGATTCCAGATATGCAGGTTGCTGGCCTGTCATCCCAGGGTGCTTTTAATGGAGAATGCTCCATTGTAGAAGCAGTGGTTACTGCTGGCATTGGTTAGTGCTCACTTAATGCTGAGGGATGTTTAGTATCCTGAACAATAGCAGCCTGGGTCCAGCCATCACATGAACTCGGAAGCCAGCAAAAAGGTAATAGCCAGTCCTAAAGCAACACTACTTTGGTTCTTATTCACAGTTATTTTTAGGCCCAGGCTGCATTTCCAATGAAGCAACTGGTAAAAGAGTCTGTCCTGCAACACAGAGGGTGGCATTCTGTTTCCATTTAGTTGCTTAAGTGACAGTTTTCTACTTGTCTGCATGGACTTTCCTGTACTGCCCTCTTACCAAGGCCCTCTACATAGGCAAACCTTGACCCTGAGCTGAGCCCTGCTGACTTCGGTGTGGCTCCATGCAGTTGGCATGTAATAAATTGTAGCATCTGGGTCTGAGATCATAGTCTGAAAGCTCAAAAACTGTTCAGACATCTGACCCCCAAAAAACTGTACAATTTTTTAGAGGCTATGAATAAATGCAGAATAAATGAGAAATGGATTTTCTTTAAACCTTCCAGAAAAATTGCTTCTCGGTTTTAAACAAGCATGAGAATTTTCAATCCCAAAGATAATAGAGGTGGAGGAGGAATCCCAAGCCATTGTAACTAAGGGCTTAAACTAAAATGCCCAACTCGGCCACATCTATCACTTTGCGAGTTCCCTTCTGGGATAAACAAGATGTGTAGACACCAACACCAACTCCCTGCTTTATTTCCAACAGCGAGTAGCTCTTTCTTGCAATGGCTTAGTGTTGTCTTTAGGGAAACAGTGCTATGTTTTGAAGTCGTGCTTAAAGTGTAAGTTTGGCTCGGAAGTTCTGAGCTCAGGATGGAAAATTAAGGTTGCAAATGTGTCGATGGAAGGATTCAAAGGATTTTCTCTCCTTTTGTGCTATTTTAAGTCATTTGCTTATAGTCTCACTTATACCTTGTGGCAGGTAATAGCCATTTTAAAGGCCACTGGAGTGATTGTGTTGAAGCCGTATAATGAGAAGTGTTGTTCAGCGAGTTCCTCTTTCTGCTTCACGCAGCCTTTGCTGGGAGCGCTCATCCTGCTGCCTAGGAGATGTTCCCTTTTCTGCAATGCTAGTGCCTCTTTTCTGACTAATTCTTCTTTGCTGATGAGAAAAAATATTATAGATGTTTTCAACATGGCAGGACTGGGCAAATGGTCTTAGTACCAGAGCTGGTAAATGTTCATGGTGACTTCTCAAGGCTGCTCCAACCTGCTCATTAGATCGTAGGCAGTTCTGGCTTATAGGCACTTTGAGCACAAGTTGCCTTGGCTTTGGCTCTGGGATTTCCTGTTCCCAGATCTTTAGCTTTAGGACCCTTTTGTCATCCACGAGTATGTATTTTGTCCTTTGGAGCAAGTATCTGGCGCTTTTAGGGAAGCACATGCTTTATGCTCAGGCTTTAACCTAAGATGCCTCTTCTCTATTTCTTGGTATATCCAACAAAATGTGCATATTTCTGTTTGTTATTTGTTTCCTTTAAGGAGTCTTTTGGTGCATGGCCCAGTGAGCTCATTCTCTTGTGCCTCTGAGAGATTTTTGTGCAACTACATTCTGCTGCTGGAAATGGAAAATGCAGACATACCCTTGATGAGCTCGTTTTTTATTTAGGAAGATCTGATTTGTCCTCTGTTTAGAGTCTCTCCGTGTATCTCTCATATAAACTATTCCTATCTAATTTGGTTCTGTCTTGGCTCAAACCTGCTTGGAAATGAGAACAAGACAGAAATTGCAGTAATTTGGGGAAGCGTGGAAGAGTTTTGCTGGTGTCAAGTCTTATCTTCCTGTGCTCTCTTAGAGAAACTCAATTCAAATTATTGCACAGCTCATTTGTTCCCTTTACTTCTGGGTTCAGATAAAGCGGAGGAGTGTTGGTTCTTCCATGTACAATAAATGTCGCTGTGCTTGTGGATCATTTCCGTTGTATAAGGGCCTGTCCAATTATTGTTGGCATCTTTTTGCAGCAGCAGGAATTTCTGGACAACATCGTGCGTGTGTGGGCTCCGTTATGCCCTGCATCCCGAGCACTGGGTAATTGTCTAGAACATTGCTCTTTTTAGTCGAATCACAGCTACAAAAATGTTCTCCATTGTGGAAAAACCCATCCGGAGGTTCTGGCCTTGACCGGGCCTTTTCCCTGCCTGGGAAGTTAGTAGGTTGACCCGCTTTTTGCTGATAGGGACAAGGTCCTCTAAGCTGCATCATTGATTTGCTGGACTCTGCTGTCAGGGGATCTATGAGAATACCTGTTTGCAAAATGAAAAGACCCCTGGTCTCTGAACCACCCATGTGAACTTGGACGTGTAGATTTTCTCTGTGACTCGCGTGTGTCATGGCATCTGATTAACTTTTTGGTTTGGTTATAGTTTGCTTGTTTTTCTGTAGTTCAGATATGTAAAACTACTCCCTGCGCTGTCTGTGCTGATGTACTCTCTGGGTAAAAACTCTGCACTGTGGTGGCAAGCTTCTAATAACTCTCTTACATTTGCTTCAATGCTTGCACTTCAAAAATTACTCGATAAAAAAAACCAACTTCCTTTCACAGAAGACTGATCATTATGCCTCTAAAATTTTCCCAGTGGAATGCACTCATTTGCAAATGGCAAACCTTGTGTTGGAGGAGACTTCGCAGCAATGCGCGGCTAGAACTAGGAGTGCTGCTTCTCTTCAAGAGAATGTAAATAGGACCGGCTTGCAGAAATAGCACCTGCCTTGTTCAGGGTCAGTTAACCAAATGTATTTTGGTTTGTATGTGGGATGGAATGGGCTGGGGAGGAAATCCAGCATGTAACATAACCTACATCTTGTTTTTTTCTGCATAGTTTTCTATGATCCATTTTTGCCATTCCTCCACTGTTTACCTTTTCTCTGGAACTGCTATCCAGGCACATCTCCCATGCCAGTGGATTCAGAGGAATAGCTCTGTAGTTAAGGTGTACAAGGCATCCTGTTCTAAGCCCGTGTGTGTGTGTGTGTGTGTGCACGCGTGTGCGCTTGTATTTCCCTTCTTGCCAAACTTTTGGGGGAAATGCCTATGTGGTTTGAAGTAACCAGGCTATTTTTGGATAATGCAATGCAATTGCTTTTTCGTTTTTAAAGAATGCTGCTTGCCGCCACCTACTGACTCTCCCAGACTTGCTGGGACTCGATCCTTCAGGATGAGTATGTGCAATAGCGGCGGTGAAAAGATTCCGCTCAAATTTTAGGAAGTTACTGATGCTGATGTGTCCTGGTAATGGTTACTGTCTGGGTTCAGTTTAGTTTTAAATGGGACTCCCAGCAGAAGTTATAACTCAGGGAGATCCATACAGGTTCTGCCGTTTCTCCTGCAGACTACTGTACCATTCACAGGACCAGCTGCCCATTATAGCTGTAGTGGATGTTTCCCAGACACAGTAGATCTAAAATAGCTTGAGATGAACCCGTAGTGGCAGGGCCTTTTCCTGCTCACCCCAGTGGTGCAATCATAATGGTTCTGACTACACTTATGGGCCAGATTTCCCTGTAGTTGGGACTCTTTTTTTAAAGCGCTCAGCTACTACTTAGGTACCTATGCCAGATGGAGGGCATTCAGAACATGTAAACGTTGTTCTCAGTGGAGCAGGTGGGCGTTCAGGACTCTTGCAAACCTAGCTCATTTATGAGAGTTTTACAGATTTTCAGGGGGTGAAATTTTTTTTGAAAGAAAAGAAATAAATCTCTAGTGTAGTCATGTTTGAGAGCCTAGGGTTATGATCATTAACAGCGGTTTGCTCGCCTTTTTGTCACTGAAAAGAGTTTCAAAATTTAATGTGGAATAAATGTAAGGCAAGATTTGGAGCTCTGCAAGTCAAATTGCAGCATGGTTTAAGCCCTTCCAGGACAAAAAGGCATTTTCAATAGTAAATATCTCTATAATGCACCATTCAGCATTTTAAAAGTACTGAGTGGCTTCAGTTCTCAGGGAGGAATGTGCCTGAGAGAGGCTGATCCAGAAATAGACTGTGAACAATAGGACTTTTCAGTTTCAGAAAACTGATCTCGCCTGGTCTGCCTGCCTTCTCGCCAGCAAATTGGAAAAGCATTAACTAAAACATCCATTGAGAACGCTCAGCAACCTCGAGCGGTGCTTAGCAATTCTGTTTAATCCTGGAAAAATTAGCAACAGTGCAAATGACTAGCCTGAGCAGGGACAGCCCCATCCTGAGAGGTCTTCAACCCCCTCGGCTTTGTCACGGAGGGGCCTTAAGGAAGGGGCCAGGTGTGCCAGGCAGTAGAATGGACAATATCTCATTATCAGCTTTTTATTACAAAATACCCGCCCCATTAAAGACCCTTAAGGTCTCTGTTTCTGTGTGTCTGCTGTGTTGCCTTTCCTCCTGCAGTGCCTTTATAAAGAACCCGTGTAGTCTGTGTTGCTCTGTTTGGCAGTAAAATGCTGCGAGCAGGGTAAGAGCGAGGGCGCAGGCAGCTCTCCCTCTGCGGATGCGCTTTGCAGGAGGTCGCTGCACTGGCACATGGCTCGGCGAGATGAGAATTCACACCTGGTAGGAAAAGCAAGTTCACGGCCCCCCCTGGCAGGACGTCAAGCAGCTCTATTCAGTCTTTTTATCATAGAAACAAAAATGACAATGACAGCACAAAATGGCCGCTCTCTCTGGAGTGATGCCAAGCGCTCCACTTCAAAGGTATTTTTATAGCCTCCCTGGGGTCTCTCATAAAGGATGCCTGCTCTGAAGGGCTAGCTCCTCTCTTGGAGCACAAGGGAGCTCGTACCTTCAGGGGCAGCATTTATAGCATTTAAACGCTCCAGGGAGATGGGAGTGAGTTCCAGCTTTGTTTTTTACCCCTTTTATTTCCCTAACTGCATGAGCACATTTTGCCTCTGGTGTCATTGTGGGATGTAGGGCTAGATTTCAGAACCCCAGCGCCTGATTTTGCAAAGTGTGGAGAGTCCACGCCACCAGAGAAAGCCATGGGTGCTGCACTTGATGTCTCTGAAGATCAGACCCTAATGCTTTAATGAGGACTGTGTCTGCTTCTGGCAGGAGAGCTGCGATTCCTGGATAGTCTGCCTTACAACTCCATTGTCTTCCTGAAGACAAGTGGCCTCCTTGTTGTGCGCTTTAGTCTGGTATTCCCTGCTCTGGCCTTAAACTGCCCAAATTATGGCATTGTCAATGGATTTTATTAGGTTCCTCAGCATTACAGGAATTTGGCTCCTTGTGAAGAGGCCACGTCCAAAGAGACTTGTTCAGGTTTGAAGTAGGGCCACTCGCCAGCTGTAATTTGTCAAGCTGACAAGAAGAATAAAAGCTGGCAGACCGAGCTTGTCACTCTTCTTCCTGAGAGCTCTCGGTGAATACAAGGATCACTTCCTGTGTCCAAGTGTAGTTTTGTGTGCCCGGAGGGAACACGCTTCTCCAGGCAGCATCTCTCCAATCAGCAGGCTGTAATTCTGTGCTTATTTAAAAGCTGAGGGTACTTTGCCCTTTGTGTAAGCCAGCAGAGGGTTATTCACCCATGCTGGCATGTTTTCTATTGCTTTTGCAGGCACTAGTGGCGTGTTTGGAAAGTGCAGGAGAGCAGTCCGGATTCAAGACACTGCTCAGCAAGGTGAGGGATGAGCAGAGCCTGGATGCTCAGACTGTCGTGTCCATGCTGAAGCTGTTTCAAGACACCTATCCCAAGATAAAAGCAGTGCTGCTGGAAAGAGAGCAGAACAGTGGAGAGATCCTGCAGCAAACAGGTAGGAGAGCAGGTACTCCCCTTGTACAGAAACCATCAGAGGGGCTTGATCCTTGACAGGTGCCACCATGCTCTGCTCCCAGCAGGTCAGGGTACTTGAGCCTAGAAAAACTGCTTGAGCCTTAGCTCTTGCCCACATGTGATAAACCTGCCAGCACTAACAGATCATTAGCCTTTTGGAATCAGGTTTTGCATTTTCACTTCCCAAACTGGACATGTCTGACAGCGCCCGTATTGGAGCAATCCCAGGAGTGCGCTCTGCCCTTCACTAACTGTAGGTCTACATCAGTGGCAGGCTGACCATCATGGGTCAGTGCTCGACTGTGCCTGAGGACCGAAAGCTCCTTTTCTTGCTTTTGTTTGACAGAAAGCAGTAGCCTTGCAAACCTGACGTTAACCTCCAGCTTGCTTTGCAGCTTTGTGCTCTGTTAGATAAATGAGACGTTTTCCTTTCATAGAGTTTAAAGAGAATAATAAAGTGTTTTCTTCTGCTGCTTGCACTCAGTCTAAGCTTTGCTATTCACTTAGATCTTTCACAGAATCTCATTGTCTCACTTCAGGAGAAAATACCTTGCTGTCACTTACTTCACATTGACTCATGTGGTTGTTTTTTTTCTTTTCTTGTATTTCCAAATCTTTCTCCCACAGAGAACACAGAACAGGGAAAGACCCTGTCTGCTCTGCTGGTGGAATGCAGGGAGGAGTTGATCCAGAGCATAACACAGCTGAGCCCCATCATCCAGTTCCTCGAAACAGCAGAGGAAGGATTCCTGACGAGCTTGGAGAAGCAGGTAACATCTAAAATACAGGAAAGCTGTGTGCGTGTGTGAGCAAAGCACCTTTTTATCGCATTGTTTTCTAGGTCACACTTAGTTCCATGGCCTATAGACTACATATGTAACTCATAACTTTGGGGCTGAGATGAACACCCCCTAATGCAATGCTGAGTGCCCTGCGTAGCTGTGCTTGGGGGAAGGGTTGGAGCCAGAAGTCCTTTGCACTAAGCTCAGAGATAGCAGTGCACTACCATGGGCTACAGAGATTTAGTTTTAAAGAAACCATTGAACCTCTGCATCGACAGTATTGCTAGCTTGATTAGCAGATGTGTCACTCTCTCTAGGCTTGACTCATTGGTCAAGTTGCCTTGGAGAGCTAGCTGCAACGTATTTTCTTTTTGTGCTCTGTACAAACAGTTGCCCATATGTGTGGAACATCCTCTCCTCAGTGTATATGTTTCTGTGGTTCTGTACTGGTGTTTCACAGGATCCCTTCCTTGCTCATTGTAATGTTTGGTAGCCCAAGTGAGCTTTGTCACCTTATAGGAAAGGAGAGGGATGTGGGGGGACTTGGGTAGAAGCCGAGGCCTCATTAAACTAAAGAGGAGGATGTGAGTGAAGTTGGGAGGGAGGCCTGCCAAAAGCTCAGGTCTTGATGAGGCAAGATTTTGCTGAAGCCTTATCAAACCAGGCAGGCGCAGAGGCCTCAAGTCTGTCCAACAGATTCAGTGTAAACTAAGTGGAAGAATAAATGCTAAAAAAGTCAGTAGCTAAGACTTTTTTTATGTTGAAGGGGCACATTTTGAGGAATTAAGAGGAACCTGTTAGTGAGGCTCCAGGACTTAAATGTAAAGAGGGCTTGGGTTGTCTTTAGGTCAACTGTACCCAAACTATCTAGAATTTGCCTCCCAGGCAAGGGGAAAAACATGTAGGGTTGGGATCCAGCCCTACCCGGGTAAATAACCATGTTAAGTAGGGTATTAAGGAGCAAGCAGACAGCTTGTAAGGAATGGAAAAAGGGATTAGCCAACAAAGAGACCTACTTTTCTGAAGACAAAGAATGTAGGGATAAAGTGTGAATTGCCAAAAATCAAACTGAGCTAGTCTTTAAAATGTTCTTTAGACATATAAATAAAGAGAGACCAAGAAAAGAAGTAGGAGTGTTTCGCAGTGAAGAGGGGGAAGAAAGTAAAAATAAGCAAGGAACGGCCCAAAAATGAAATCAGAATTTTGCTTCGGTTTTCAGTGAGACTGGCAGTATCCCTTTGGGGCAGAGGTAGAACTACTAATGATAGCAGTGAGGATATGGAAATGAATGCAATGCAGCCTGGGTGTTTTGCAGGGTTAATTTGTAGAATCATAGTAAGGCTGGAAGGACTCTCTGGTAGTCATGTAGAGTCCAGCCCCCTGCTTTAAGCAGGTTCATCCCTGTCCAAACCATCTCGTACAAACCCTTATCTAACCTATTCCTAAAATGACACAATCAACCCTGTTGCACCTAGCCCCCTTGCAAAGATGAGGGTTTGAAAGTATTCTGGGATATATGTAGCCACAACAGACATCTCAGTGAGACCACTGAAGTGCTCCAGCTGTTTGCTGTATCTTTTCTTTTAAAGGATGCAACTTTTCCAATCAGCTACATGGGAGGCTGATGACCCCCAGCTGATCAAAGAAATGGTGGCCTTTGAAGTAAAAGCTGCAGGAAACAACTGGGCGGATTGTCCCTAATTTAGCAATCTGCTGTGAATTAAGTGGTTGCAAACCATCCCTATAGGAAAAATACAGATTCTACTGGGATACCACAACTGAGCCAAAAAACCACAACTTAAGAGTTTACTGCCCTCAGGTGTGGGGGGTGGGGATGAATAATCTCCATCCCAGAATATGAAAAGAACCATTATACTTAACTACTGCAAAGATGTTTAATAAATCGACCGAACTAGCAGGGGACTGTGTAGCTAAAGAATAGCAAACCTATTTAATAAAGAGGAAACAAAGTGGTCTGGACAACTGCATACCTGTTAGCCTGAGCCCAGCATTATTAAAGGCTCCTGAATAAATTTTGAAAGAATAATGATACTGCGATACAAACAAATTAATAAATGCAGCATGGATTTATCAAAAGTAAATTATGTCAGACTAACCTGAAATCTTCCTTTGCTAGGGTGAGATCCACTGTACCAGTCTGCACTTTGTAAAACATTTGATGTGGTATCACTTGGGAATTTATCAGTTAACACAGAGAAGATAGAGATTAGTACAAGAATTATTAAGTAGATGAGGATCTGACTAAAGGGCAGATGACTGCAGATTATGCTGAAAAGAGAATTTATCAGGAGAGAAGGAGGTTGCTGGTTGAGTTCCTATAGGATTGGTCCTGTGACTGGTTTTATTTAATAGTTCCATTAGTGACCTTGGTACAAAAAGGAGAAATGTGCTAATGAAATTTGCTGATGGTACAAAATTGGGAAGTATGTTAACTCCCATGGAGGAGGATTTGAGTATCATACAAGAAGAACTGGATGTCTGAGAGGACTGAAGGAATAGAAATGAAATTTAATAGTGCAAAATGCAGAGTCGTGAATTTAGTCATTAATAGCAAGAGATGAAAACTAGACCTTATCTAGAGTACTAGGTACTGCTCCAGTCACTCATGTTCGGGAAAGATACATTCAAACTAGGACAGGTATAAAGAAGGACTCTTGGTTTGATCAAGGGAATGGAGAGTCTGTCATGATAGAAAACTAAAAGAGTTGGGCTTGTTCAGCCTAGGGAAATGGAGGCTGAGAGAAGATATATTGTTCTGAAAAGCATCGGGGGGTGGAGGTGAGCACCAAAGAGAGTTTTGAAGAACTATTTAATGTAGAGGCCAGTGTGGACATAACAATAAATGTAATGTGAATAATGAACAGATTTAGGCTAGAAATCCAGGGAGGGAGAGTCCAGGCTGGTTTTCTGATAGAAGCAGTGGGTGCTAAAGCCTAGCCAATTTTAGGTTGGAGTTTGGTAGTTTTATATGACTTGGTTGCCTGTGATGGCACGCGACTGAACTTCGCTGCCCAAGGGTTTTTTCCAGGATGATGTTCCAAAACTCCGCGAAGTGTAGCCTCAGAGCTGTGCAGTTTGTGCAGCCGTGCTTGTGTGGAAGGCTCTTTTTGTTGTGGGTATGAAAAACCTGCTGTTTGAACAAGACTTTCGTATGTGTTGTGATATATTTTAGGCTCAACCTTGCTTGCATTTGAATGCGATGTATTTGTCCTTTGTGACTGTAATACTGATGTATTCAGAGCTCTTCTAATCGTGTGATTTGATATTGATTATACCTTGCATGAGGCATGTCTCACATGACTGGCCCATATAAATAATCCTTCAGCCTATAAAATATTTATTAAAGTAACAAGGTTTCTCTCCCTTTCCCCATATCCCTGCTTCAGTGACAAATGGAAAAGAGAAAACAAGCCTGGGTAAGGGACAAAGACTGAAATATTCAAAAAGGAAAGTGTTTCAGTAAAAAATTACAATAAAAGAGAAGTAATTTTGAAACCTGCAGCAGAAACAGCTCTATGTTTTGGCAGGGTGTTTTTCCATTTTTTGACCAGTTTTAAGAACTAGACTTCATGGGAAACATAATTTGACCCTGTGCAAAGAGGGGGTCAGTGAACCGCCTCTAGCAGTGGTTGGCATCAAGCCCCCCAGCTCTGTGGATCGGATTCAGTGGCTCTGCAGGCTGGATCTGGGCCCCGGGTCCTAGGTTGCCTACCTCTGACTTATACTTATTTTCCAGGAGAAGACATGTTAGAGATATAGACTGTGCTTAAATACTAAAAGTATGGGCCTGTGATAAATAGATATGTGTTTACTAGAGCGCTGTATAATTTCATAATGTTCTAGGCCACCGCAGATCAATCAGACCTGTGAGACATCAGGATTTTCTCTTAACTCTTCTCTTTACTGGCTGCTTGGTTATCTCCTTGCTCCTGCAGGTGATTCTGGATTGCTGTGAAGGCAGCTCCCAGGGGGTTGCAATGGAGAATCTGCTTAGGAAGGTGGTGGAAGAGAAGACCCTGAAAGCTGAGAGCTTGGTCAAACTACTTGGGGCTGTAAAAGCAGCATTTCCTGATCTGCACCTTCTGCTAGACAATTTGGCGGCAGCAGCAGTTGTGTCTGAGAGCAAAGGTATTACTGGATCACTCTTTCTAGATTAGTAGCTCCATGAAGATCATCCACTATTAAGTTTGGATGCCTGTCTGAACTTGAGTCAGGTTTCTAGAACTTAGAGATAGATACAATGCGCAGGAACAGAGCAAGACCCAAGGCCAGGACGCAGGTAAAGTTATAATCTTTGCAGCAGATGGTTTCCCATGCGCAAGGACTGGTCGTAGCACGATGATGAGGATTAAAAAAACCCTTCGTGGCTGTGCTGGGTCCTACAACTGAGGTTTCCCACCCCCTGGAGAAAGGCTTTAATCCTTTTAATCCTTTTATTAAACCTAGTGATGGTAGGGTCCTCCTCTTTCTTCTCCTGATCCTTCCCCGCTGGCTAGTCTTGTTTTTTCTGCAAGTAATATTTTAGGGAGTTGCACAAGAGTTGCACATTTTCCTTGATAAAACAGGATGGCAGCAGAGCAGAGTGGCTGGATCTGATCTGTTTTGAGGAAACTCGGGACAGGTTGAGTTGTGCGCAAGCAAGTAGGATCTAAAATCAACAGAAGTGGCTCAAATTTATGTGGCAACCTGTGTCTGCATAGGTCTAATTACTATTGGTGTTTGTTTTGGGGCCTGCAAGTGTATTTGTAGGCATTTATGCAGTGCCTTTGGCTAAGGAGCTGAGTAGTTTGCTTTAATTCCATTAAGTCTATTGTCCTGTAGTTTAATTAGAGATAAATGCAATAGGATGCAATGAGAGAGCTCTGAGGCTTCGATGTTTAGGTGCTTAGGATGCATTAGAACTAACGGATATTCTCTGGACTCGAACTGTGGAAAATGGGTCTTCCTAATTCCTTTATAGCTAACCCCAGTTTGTTGGCCTGTTGCAGTAAGTTAGTAGCCCAGGTCCTTTTGGGCACGTGTCAGTGTCACTGACGGCTGTCGGTCCCTACCTGGCAGTCTCCACTGGAAGACAAAAGGTGGACGGAGGATAAAGTCCCCTCTCACTCTGGCAGGTAGTACGTCCCTATCTCAAGTATGGAAGGCCAAGGTATATGCCTTCTCCCTCTTTGCTAAGTTTCAGTCCTTATTCTGGCTCCTCCAACCCTTCTTGATATAGTTATGGATGCACTCACTCTCCCTGGTCATCTCTCCCTTTATTCTCTATCTGTCCTGGGCACCATAAAGCTGCAGGATCTCCTTGTCAGTCTCTTTCAAGCAGTAACTGAGATGGCTGTCCATCAGTCCAGGAAAAGTACAATTAATGGAGAAGTTCTTTGTGGCAGCATGTCTGCTCCTGGTCCGTGCTTGTCTGACACATCCAGGCAACACACTTCTGGGCAGCAACCCCTTACACCTTGCACTTCCTCTCCATCTGATAGCCTCATCTGAGATCATTGCCCTACCTTCCTCCCTACACACACATTCTTGGTTTTTCCTCCATTAATTTCCCTGTGGGACTTGAGGTTGTTTGGACATTGTGAAACCTTTTTAGTTAATGGGGACCATTTCACTCCTGAATTTAGGTAGCCAGCATCTTTTACCGGTCTGAAGTTACTTAAAAAGATAAAAAATGAAATTGAAATGCGGTGAAATATAAATGAGCGTTTTTCAGAAAGCAAAATTGTGCTTGTAATACTGCTACTTCCCTGTGCAGCAAACATTCCAGGCAAGCCGTTTGCATTGTGATTTGTTAAGCATCATTGCTTCCCTCGAAACACCAGACACCCAACCTAGTTAATGATCTAGTGGTAATACCCATTTTGGGGAGGAGCATTCCTTAATTACATAGAGTTGAATCTTCTTAAATTGAAGCTTGAATAAATAAAAGCACAATTTTTTTTTACCTTGGAAATAGAGGGAGGGAGAGAGCGGGCTATGAACACCTCTTTCTCCAGTTTTGTAAATCTAGCCTCGAGAAAATTATTTTCACCTATGATTATTGAATACGTTTGGGTAGAGTTTGTAGAAATTGCTAAATACCTTTCAGAAGAGCAAACCATCTTTATTCACCTAAAATACTCAGCCAGCTCTATTCCAAGGCCACATTGACATCTTAATTACATTGTGGCTATTTCCTGATTCTTTAACACTTTTTTTTAAATGTCTTTTTGTAATCCAGAGTTGGGTTCCACCTCCCCCCCATATATTTATCAAAGATAACCCAACCCACATCGTTGTAAATTGTATTGAACTGTGGGCATTTGGATCTTTGGAAATTGTTGGTATATTTAATAATTGCACTCTTTGAAGAAGGATACAGTCCAGAGAAGCTTCACACCAGGGTATCAGAGTCTTTTTATTACAGAGCATAGGCTCTCTCAGTATATCTACATCCAAAAATCAGTGATGGAGCCTACCAGCAGGGGAATCGAGAGACTGAAAATCTCCTCGCAGTATTGTCTTCATGTCCTAGTTTAGACCAGTCCACTGGCCTTGTGCAGAAGCCAGGCCTTTGATCTTTTGTGCTAGGACTGTGTCTGATGCTTTGAAGATGCTAAAAATATGGTATGCAACCAAAAGATCTATTTTTATACATGCACAGTGTACGATCCAGATTGGGGGTCATCAGCCTTTTGCTGGTGTGGGTCAGAGCTTACAACATGGCTGTCACTGCGGGCCAGAAGTCTGGGCAGCAGGCTTCGCAGCAAAAGGGAATGCTGCGGCGTGGAGGGTTGGCATGGCACAACTCCAGATCAATCCCCCATGCTGGATTGTCTCCGAAGGCCAGATCGGACCTCTTGTTGGGCTGGACCCAGCCTGCAGACCATAGGTTGCTGACCCCTTCTCTAAACTGTCATCTTTTTTTATATACATAAAAGTGATGAAATGAATGACTAATGGCAATTGGGTTGGCTAAGCAGTGGACTCCAGTTAGCTCAATGCACTATGCATCTGATATACAGTTCTCCTGGCAGGGCCCTGACTTGCTATACTTACTGACTGCTCTTTCAGTACAGCACTAGCAGCATACCTCAGACATGATCCATGCCCTTGCTGCTTGACTCCCAACCCCCTCATGCAGAGAATCTGCTCTTCTTCCAGCCTGTATCATGAAAGAATTGCAAACAAATGGTGTCTGGAACCGCAAAGTATTTATTACTTGTATTCAGCTCTTGGATTCAAAACCAGATCTGTTGTAATAGCTTAGTGTGCTATTGAGGCCCCAGTCTGGTTTCTTATTTGTATTTGCCCTTTAACTTTGAGTAGGAAAGATGCTTCAGAATGATGCATGATAGTGAGCAGATACTGTTTTTATTCATTTGCATTCAGCCAAATGGAGCCCAGAGGATTATGGGACTGAACTATTAAGACAATATCAAGAAAACTTTGCAGAGCTCTTGAAAGATTCCCAGATGTTGCTGCAAGGGATCTCAAGCACACAAAACATAGCTCCTGGAGAGAAAGAGGTGAGTGGATAGTCTGTGTTTACGTCTGCATTTCTGATTATAGCGCGGGATTTTGCTCTGGTCTGCATGTAAAAGACCAGAGAGCACCTGATTGTATCACTCATTGCTGCAGCAGAGTCTTGAGACTTGTGTTGTTGCTAAAGTTGGGTTAAGATGTCTTTAGCATCCATCTGCTGCAGCAAAAAAACCCATCTCTAAATCCAAACCTAGAAGTCACCAAAGAGCAACCATTTGCTCCAAGTCTCAGGAAATGGCTTCTATTTCTGCCTGACTTAGTGTGGCCTGTGTGTGCATGGTCTAGCTTATCCTTGGAAAGCCTGTTTGCTTTCTTGACTCATGTTCCTGGTCCACAGCATGGCAGGGACTATAGTACTGAAAGACAGACTCTAGCAGGCGGTGACAGTTGGCTAATCCATGAATGGGCAGATAGACAGTTGTCTCTCATTAATACCTTGGTGCTGGTCATTTGAAGGTAATGGAACGGATAGTGAAGCACGCAGCTGGCGTGGGTGGTTTCAGCGCGCTGGTCTCCGCAGCGCTGGAAGGCCAGGCTCTGTCTGTGAGTACCGTTTGGCAGCTGCTGTTGGAACTGCGAGAGGCAGAATATCCACTGAACGCGCTCATCGATGAAATTCAGAAGGAGCCAGGTGCAGACCTTTTTTTCGAAACAGGTAATGCTCTCAGACTCCGGATAGAGCTGCTTTATCAATAGATTCCTCCAGATCCTCATTGATCCCACCGGATCTTCTTGTGCTTTTCCCTTTCCCTGGCTGCGGCGGTACATTAACTTGCCAGTCAAGTGATGACTAAGCACATCAAAGCATCAGGCACAGATGCTTATCTAAATGCTGACCATCTAAACCCTGGACTGCTTGTCCAAATTCCCTGGATTTGCACACTGAGCTGGAAATGTAGTGTTAGGCCAGTTTTCTTGAGCCACGTCCAGGATACAATACATGTAGATGGGACTGGAAATACCAGAGAAACAACTTTCCTTCTGGTACTGTGTAATGCAGGCATCATCCCAGTGCATTGTTTATTGCAAGGAGAAGTAATGGGACGCATGGTAGGAGACCGAATTTTTTTTACTGAATTAACTGGTGCAGCATTTGGCCCTAGAAAGGGAGGAAGCTTTGGCAGAGAGGGAGGATGCCTGCCTTTTTTTGTGACCCTGTGATTCTTGCCAGACAACAGAAATGCAGTCCTTCTACTTCCCTTCCCTGCTGTCACTCGTATTAAGAATTCCAGAAATGCCATCAGGCTGAAATCCTATGAGATTGAAAACATGAGCTCATGAGAGCCTTAACCCTATTCCTGAGCCTTCCTGCAAACTTTCCATTCTGTGATCACATTTTTCTACAGGAAAAATGCATTCCTCTCCATTTGCTGAGTGAAAATCTCATACAAACCAGAGAAAGATTCAACTAGCTGACTTGCAGTACAGGGACAGTATCCAATGAGCCCACCAAACACACCAAAAGTATATTGCATCTTCTAATTTCTCTAATTGCAAACATTCTAGACACCACTGGTGACAATAGAGAAGTGCGGTGATTTTTTTTGAGTTGGTCACGTCTCTCTGAATGAGTTCCTTTAAAATAATTAAGAAGGTTTATTTCATCTCAAAGTGGACAAACATTGAAAGCTGCATCGCTCCTTCACATCTTTGTTATCATTGCCACAGCCAGTGCCAATAAAGTCTGCAACTTAGTCCTTGGCTTCCCTCTGCTTCCAAAGGGAAGTACACCCACTGAGAAGGGGTTGTCTTCTGACGTTGGCTGAACAGGGTTAGTAAAGCTAAGATTCTTTGGGCACATCCCAGGTTTTTTGTTCTATTGTTTGTAATGGCTTTCTCTCCTTCAGTGGCTACCAGTGAAAGTACAGCCATCAAGATAATACTGAGACACAGCGAGCTGATCTCAGAGGCCATCAAGCAGAGAGCGGGACTAGAGGACTTGGCTCCAGGAGAAGCGGGTCTCACAGAAGCAGTAAAAGAGGTACTGAACAGGTGACAGTGGCAGCACACAGCTGTTCTCCGCTCTAATGTAACGTGTAGCCTGTAATGCCAACAGATTTTAGCCTGCAGTGTTCCAAGCAGAAATTACTTAGATCTGTGTAGAGCTCAGTGGGCTGGGGCATGTGTTCTCAGCAATACCTTTCCATTGAAATGTTGGCATATCAGGCATTTTTATCTACATTATGCATGAGGCTTGGGCGACTGCAAGTTGCCAGAAAGGTGCTCAATTGAGCAAAGTCTAGGTATCCTGACATAAAGCTGTGGCTCAGCTCTGCAAAGTGGCACAAGTACCATATAAAGGTGGCTAGCATGGTGTGGATTTTCATGCAGCCTGGAAAACTCAAGGCTGCCTGATATGAATGATGGGTTCCTTGGGGACTTGTTGAGTGTACCTTACTGAGGCTAGACTTGGCTTTACCAAAACTGTTGAATTTAGGTGCTCTTTAACAGTGGGAGCCCACCCTGATATTCAGTCCTAGGGAAGGGAAACTAGACGGTGTATATGTAGAGAAGCAAAGAAATCTGCTGGTTTCCTCAGTCTCTGAGAGATTCATTCACATAGCAGTCTGCAGCCACTCAGTCTGCTTTTATAGTTATCCAAACTAAACATTTCTGACGAAGGAACACCCGGCTCATCAATAGCTGCCCTGGCCCAAAAGGACTCCCTAGAAATATTTTCAGCTATTTCCATGCTGCTGTTTGTGCCATCAGCAGTTTGTGTTTCTGTGGCTAAGAAATGGAACAATGGCTTCAGTACCATGGGCTCAAGGTTAAAGGAGAAGAAAAGACCAAATGTAATTGGAATGGTTTAGCTTAATAATAAAGCTGGGGCTGGCAACCTACAGTCCTTGGGCTCCATCTAACTTGTGGAACCATTAGATTCAGCCTCTGGAGCTGGGGAACTTCAGTGGCACTTGGTAGTTGGGGGACTTCGCCTACACCATATCTGGGTGGGGGGAAGAAGCAGCAGCATCCAGGTCCTAGCAGTGGCCTGCTGCAGACCCAAGCTGGGTCATTTTGGCCCACGACCAGAAAACATTGTTGACCACTGCTCTAAAGCATCGTATCCATCCACCAAAGAAAGGCCAAAGTTATCAGTTCACTAACAATGTCTATTGTTAGCCCCACAGTAAGTGAGATGTTGGACATTGAGAAGATCCCTGGCTCCTCAGGGTAGTGGTGGTAGCTTGACACATAAGCAGCAGGTCTGGGAACTTCAATCAGTGGAATTTCTTTTTTTTTAATCCCAGAAATATTTCAGCTGGCCAGAAGTCATCGAATGGTCAAAATACAGTATTTGCCAAAGCAAGGGCTTCATGCTTCTGGGGGAGGCTTGATCTTCTGTTTCTCAGTGGGTTCCAAACAGTCCAAGAATGATTGAGAACCTTTCTCCCCAGTCTCCAGCTTTCTGCAACATAACTTTTTCTGTGTCATGTTTCCTTAGCTACTAAGCATTTCCTCTCAGAAAGAAACTTCAGAGGCCTCCTTGAAAGCAGCTCTGAACACAGCACAGGAGAAATCTGTTCCCGCCATCAAGATCTGTCAGTTGTTATGCAGCGTTCATGAGTCTTTCCCAGGTCTACAGCCAGTGATGCAGGAGCTGGGACATGTGGGTAAGAAATCTGCCCATACTCCTCTATACAGATATTTCCAGCTCACTTAGAAGTTTTGGAGAGTTAAAGCATGAAAGCCTTAACTGCTCTGAGATCATAGCATAGCACTGTTGTCTGCCCTGATTCCTTTCAAGAGCTGGAATTGGATTACTCACTGAGGTGTGCTTGGGGGTTCATGAATGTCACCTACTACTAGGAGCTGTACTCCAGGCATTGTTAGCAGGAAAAGAGCCTGGATGATCTGCTAACTTAGTGATTCATCCAGGATCTTGTTTGTGGTTTCTAGGTCTTGGACTTTGTTCAAGAAACAGTCAGGCCATTTATTCAGCTACCTGGCATCTCCACTAGTTTATTTTTCAAAATTTTTGCTCTTGTCACATGGAGTTTTCTTAGATGCCTGCATGAAATTGGATCCTCATAGGTCTGTTCTACATATATATTGACCATACCCTGGTATGAGTGGGTGCCTCATAGGCTGCCCCAAAGTAAAGCCATTGACCACCACAAGTCTTCTGTACAGAAAATGAAATTCTGTAACAGTGGCATGCAGAACTGGAACTCAAGCATGCTGGGCACGTGTGGAATAGGAACATGCACCCACCCACCCACATCCACGGTGACGCGCATCCTGGCTAAGACTTGAATGTGTGTAAGTGGTCACTCAGTCATGTTTGTTCTATGTTAAATTGGTGAGTGTTAGTTTAAAAGAAAACAGGAATCTCAAGCAGCGGTAGGTTTAGCTCATTCCTTCTGAAACCTGCTGTCCACTGAACAGATGCAGCATTTAATGGAATCGCACTCTGAGGAAGGTCTGTTTTTTGCACAGTTTGCTTCATATTCAAGAAGGGAAGAACCAAAGTTCTAAAAAAGCACGTTGAGATCCCATAGCACAGTGTTGTGGCAAACTGTGAATTCCACACTGGTTTTCCATGGCCACAAAATCATGAGACTGGTTACAGAGAAGAAACCAAATAACTATTTGTAGTTTGATTTCTTTCCACAAACATGTTTCTGATGGGGCTTTCCTGCGGGCTCTAGTCCTGTGTTAATTTTCCATTTCCTGCCTTTCAAAATTCTAGTGTTATAGGCACTTCAAAAATTGTTAGACTTTCTAGGCAATGGACATAAATGGGTGATTAAGTTCTACTGTAGCTCTACCCAGAAGAGTGTGAAGAATCCTAGTGTCCTCTTTGAAACTGGCTATGTTTGGGGAAAAAAATCCTGAACTATTTTCTGTTTTCATAAAAGGATCCACATTCACTCAATGCTACTTAATCTTTTGAGCTGAAAGAGCATTACACTATCTCAGGCCCCAAGCTTGCCAACAGTCAAGTGGTAACTTTACTCACTTGAGTTAGGGACAGGCATTCAGAAGCAGCTCCTGTTCTCTTTGTGCCTAAATGAGAGCTGAGTTTCTTTGAATATCGAGCTAGTGCTGGCACACTTCAGCTTCTATAGATGCTGGTGTTTTAACTGGAAAAAATGTATTCTCCTTTATTCTAATTCTGCACTTCTTGCACCTTCCCTCGTCATTGCCACCTGTGAACGTGACTTTGATGTGCTGCTGCTTTGACGGGACAGTGCGTTTTGCACCAGTCTGTACCGTATTCATCCCATTCACCCCCGAGTAGAAAAGTGCAGGATCAGGTGCTCTGAGGAGTGCTCAGGAGGCAGGTGGTGATGAAGGCGAGTGCTCAAAATGGTCAGTCAGCACTGAAATGGGAGTTGCTTTCCACACAGGGCTCCTGACGGAGAGAAGCGGGGAGAAACCTGGGATCAGGAAGTGGAAGGTGAACAGTGAATCGCAGATTGAAGCCATGGACAAAGAGGAGGAGAAGGCTGGGGGTGCAGGTCCCAAGGAACGAGAGGAAACCCATGAGAGTGCTTCCTCCAAGAAGAGCTTTGTCTGCAAAGCCTGTGACAAGAGTTTCCACTTCTACTGCCGTCTGAAGGTGCACATGAAGCGGTGTCGCCTGGCCAAAGGAAAGCAGGTGCAGTGCAAGGAGTGCAATGAGGTCACGAGCACCAAGAAGGAGCTAGAAAAGCACCAGCTGGAGGTGCACGGAGTTGCAGGGCCGGCCAAAAAGAAAAAGAAGAGACTCCCAGTGACATGTGACATCTGTGGAAGAGAGTTTGCTCATGCCTCAGGTGGGCTTCGTAACCCCAGAGCTGGGAGAGGTTCATGTGGCACAAGGAGTGAGGTGCTCCTTGCTGTTCTAGACCTGAGCCTAGTTACCAGGGTGATGGCCACGTGAACAGCACGTTAACTAGACAACCTGAAACTGGGGCCTCCTTCCTGGCTCTGATGATAGTTCTTAGAAGCCTTTGAAATGGCACTGTGTCCTAAGGAACGTGATTCAGACCATTTCACTGCTCCACTGTCCCAGTGTCTTATAGCTGATTTCTTTTAGAATTGCTTTTCCAGTGTTACATGTGGCTTATCAAGGAACAGTGGGGCTTCTGGTTACTTAAAAGGTGTCTAAAAGCAAATGTAGGGGCATGTGCCTGTTCTGGTTCTTCAGCTGATTTCAGGGGTATTGATAATGATGCTTCTCTGTGCCTGATGTTTCTTTACCTCCACCACCTCATCCCCCTGCTCTCACTGTGGAGGGTGGAGAAGTACTACTTTAGCAGGGTAGAGGGAGCTTATGGCTATGTCATTCTTTCCTGTCTGAGTAAGTGGCACGTTGGTTGTGATCCGGGAGCCCTGGCTGTTAGGACGATGACTTCTCCCGACTCAGTCAAGCTGTGTCACTTGGTAACTAGCATTAGGGCTGGGGAAAGGACCTGGACAGCACCTTTCTGCTGGGCATTAACTGCTTCCATTGGTCTCCTGCTCCCCAGGAATGCAGTACCACAAACTTACCGAACACTTTGATGAGAAGCCCTTCTCTTGCGATGAGTGCGGTGCCAAGTTTGCTGCTAACTCGACGCTGAAGAACCACATGCGGCTGCACACAGGGGACCGCCCCTTCATGTGCAAGCACTGCCTCATGACCTTCATGCAAGCCTCCGCCCTTGCCTATCACACCAAGAAGAAGCACTCCGAGGGTAAGCCTGTCAGAAGTGTTGGGGTCCTGACTGCGCACCGGGGTCCTTGTCCTCCCGTGAGCGATTGGAGGAAGCATAGGGCCAAGTTGTGAAGGCACAGCGCTGTGCTACAGCCATGGAGTGGGGCTAATGCTATCAGTGTTCATCTGCCTGGGCAGGGTTACAACTTAATCCATCCACTCCTGGGAATACCTCCATTTTTCCACTGCTTTTTTGACTGATTGACTGCTTCTTCTGCCTCTCTTAATGGGCTTTCATCTGCTTTTGTCCTGTCCATAGCTGGCATCTATTGCTGTCTCTACCTCCCTCTCTAGCCTTGTTCAATCGCATCGTTTCACCTCTCCCCAGACTAGAGGTCATTAGTGATCCCACCCCACCTCTCTGTAACTCAGCCCATCTCTGACATCTCCTTGCTATTGAGCTACCATCTTACTCACTTTCTCAGGCAGAGCTTCTCCTGCTTCCTTCTACTGCCTTCCTTCTTTGCCTCTCTTGACAAAACTATTGTCCTTCCTATCTTCTGGGATCGCAGGCTTCATCTCTTGTCTCTGCTCCCTTTCCCTCTCCCTGATACTTGGTCTGTTGCTGAATGCTACTGTCCTCCTCTACTGGTGAATTGGACTCTCAGTCCCTACTGCTGAACTCGTCTGTCTCTGCCTGGATTACAGTCTGGCTTCACTGGTTTTTGCCCCTGCCCTGATCTAATATGCCCCAAGTGCTGTTGCTAAACTCCCCTTCATCTCTAACCTTGACCTTTATTTGCTAGCATCCTGTTATCAGCTGCCTTGGGTGCAAGCTTAGTCCTTGCCTCCAACACGATACATAGTCATTCCTTTCCTTCTCCTCCCAGCCACCCACCCCATTCCTAACCCTCCTCAGTCCCTGTCTCTTCTCTGCGCTGTACATCCCAGTGCTCTGCCTGGCTGGCCTGCCTCCCCAGCGCCCTCTCAACTTTCATTCTCGCTGCTTCAAGCAACCAGCCTCCCTTCTTCTTAGCATTTGAATAGTTGGGAAATGAGAAATTTTCCTCCCAAAAACCAGTGATGAAAACTTGAAAAAGAAATGTAAAAATATGTACATTTTGGATTTGAAAAAGCAAACCAGTTTCTGTTTTTGTTGGATTGGTTTTGAATTTGTGATTTTTTTTTCTTTCCTCTCCCTTTGGAACTCCCTTTCTTCTTTCTCCCCACTAAAAAGGTGTTAAAATGTAAAAAGGGAGGTAAGTGCAGCAAAGCCCCAAAATAAAAGCCCCTGTCCCCCCCCCCTCCTTTTTTTTTTGTTTTTGAAAAATGTAATATCTTGAGTGGATATCTGTGGGTGATATCTTTTGTTGGACCAGCTGCATGGTTCAGATAGACTTAGATAAGCTTTCAAATACAGTGCATTCTCAGGCCTGTAAAAAATATCACCCCAAAAGATCAAAGTTTCTTACATGTTTCCTTGACTGCCAGCCTGGACTAGTGTGTTCTCTTTGTAGTTTTGCACTAATTTTCTATTTCCATAAAGGGATCTACATTCACTCATCACTACTTTATCTCTGGAACTGCAAAGGCATTATAGTACCTAAGACATCACTCCAATACTACCATGAAAGGTTTTGTTTCATTTTGGATTTTCCACTGGAATAATTTGCACAAGTAATTTAATTTTGACAGTATGCTTCACTTTCCATCTTCATTTCTTTTTAAAAATTCCAACTAGCTCTATGCCTCAGTGCCACATTTGTCCTCTGCCACTGGCTCCTTTTCTTTGTGAGCGACTCAGGAGCAAAGGATATGCCTGTGTTTGTAAAAAAAAAACATTGCAAACTTGTGGCATTGCATAGGGATGTTGTCAGAGCGATCATGTCTCTGAGCAGTTTGTTATGGATGTATTTGAGTGTGCTTGTATTGGAGCACTCTATATTTATAATCCCAGAACTAATATTGAGTACACAAATTTTGTGGTTTTGATGCCATCGCTTTTGATCCTTAGAAGCTTGTATTATGAGTTGTTGGTCCCTTGAAACCTTGCCTGTTTCATAATCTCCTGCTTCTTCCCAAAGAATTGAGCTGCATTCCCAGAAATCCTGTCCCCTGGGTCAGTGCAAGCTGCAGAGGCTCTAGCCTGCTGTATTGGATCTCCCTGCAGGGAAGATGTATGCCTGCCAATACTGTGACGCAGTGTTTGCACAGTCCATTGAGCTGTCTCGCCATGTGAGGACTCACACTGGAGATAAGCCGTATGTCTGCAGGGAGTGTGGGAAAGGATTCAGACAGGCCAATGGGCTCTCCATCCACCTACGAACCTTCCACAGTGAGTACCAGAGCCCTGCTCTAGTTCAAATGGGGCTTTCCCCTGGGACTTACCAGAGCTCCTTAGAAGGCAAAGGGCTGTCTGGGTGTGACTGCGAGGAGGTGAAGGGCAGTGCCAGACTGCAGCAGACTTCCCTCTGCTGTGGAAGGCATAGGGCTGCCCTCATAATCAGCCTGGATTATTTCTCACTGCAAGTGACAGGGAGGGAGAGTACATGGCACTTACCTGCAAAGATCCTAAAACTCAGATGTTTGCTCTTTGTCTAGAAATAACAAGCATTTCTTTCTCCGTTCTCCCTCCTACCTATTTGTGGTGCCTTTTCTCATACCTTTTCTATCTGCCTTTCTTTCTGTCCTCAACCCTGCCTTTCACCCCCTGCACTGTGGAGTCAGACATCGAAGACCCCTATGACTGCAAGAAGTGTCGGATGAGCTTTGCCACCTTGCAGGAGCATCGCAAACACATTCATGAGGTCCACTCCAGGGAATACCACCCCTGCCCTACCTGTGGTAAAGTCTTCAGTGCTCCATCCCTGCTGGAACGCCACATGGTGACCCACGTAGGAGGGAAGCCGTTCAGCTGTGAGATCTGTGACAAAGCCTATCAGGTGAGCTGGGCTTGGTGTACACTTTATCTCACCCTCCAAAGAACAGCATCACATGCCAGTTTGCAAAGAGGAGGTCCTTTATCGGCACAAGTGAATATGGAAGTAACTGCACTGCCAAGGGAAGAAGTTTGCTGATTTGCTCAGAGGAAGAATAATTGTGCAATGAGAAGATAGGCCCACTAATATGAATCATTCGGTTCTGAAACTGTCCTAACTCTAGAGGTATAGATCCTTTCCTGCCCTGAGCTCCCTAAAATCTGATGTTTCCCTTTAGCCTAACATTTCTAGCTTTCTTGGTTTCTGTTATAATAGAAGTGACATTTTGCAAATGAGATTCTCCATTTGGCTTGTGCAAGTGTGCATATGTTGGAGGGCCCTAAACCAAGTAGCAAGGCATGAAAAATCAGTCCAAAATGGGATCTGTGAAGAGGGGGATGAGAGAGCTAGCAGCACTCAGCTCTTTGGGTGTGCTGCTTTTGTAGAGATCATGTTCTCTATCAGCCTAGTTTAGGATGCTGCATGTCTGGCATAAATAAGTTAGAGTAATGAATATCAAGTATGCTACATAAAAGAGATGGGTTTGGATAGGGATGTTTATGGTAAGGTCTGATGCATCTTATAGCTGCTGGGTGCAGCCTCAGTTCCCATTTGTTTTAAGATGGCAACCTGTTACTGCCACTTTATCCCTCCAGGACAGCTTTTCCATTCTAAACATGATTTGATTTATATCTTCACAGCAACTGTCAGGGTTATGGTATCACAATCGGACCCATCACCCTGATGTCTTTGCAGCCCAGAATCACCGCTCATCCAAATTCTCATCGCTGCAGTGCAGCTCCTGTGACAAAACCTTCTCCAGCACGACTGCCCACAGAAAACATGTCAAGACAGAGCATGCAGGTGAGAAGTCCCCCGCCTCCTCTGGGGAAAAAGTGCTGAGGTGAGAGAGATAAGATATGGGAATAGTTCTCACTTGATGAAACAAAGCCCCATGGATTCCTGAGACCACAGCAAACTCATTGTGACCCCTCAGAAGAGTCCTCTCCAACAAGTGTCCTCTCTGTTTTGTCACGGCTAGCTCTGCTGGTTCATGAACTGCTTCTGCAGGTGGTGCTGTAATCAGACACGTTCTTGCTGAGTTCTTGACATTTATTTCCCTTAGTGTGGGTCTGTGTCCAGGTGCCTGGGCTCAGAGCAGTGATGTAGCTTGTCTGTGCTCCTTTCCCTGGTCTCATTTTCAGATATGAAGTTCCACGAGTGTGAGAAATGCAAGGAGCTGTTCCCCACGCTGGCTCTCCTGCAGGTCCACGTCAAGTGCAGGCATTCAGGTCAGTTCCTTGTTGTCTTGATGTGCCCTCCTGGCTCTGGGCCAGCCTTGACAGTTGAGGCCTCTGGTGCATCTCACTGGCAGTGATGCTTCTTTCATGTTTCTTTAGGGTCACAGCCATTTTGCTGTTTGTACTGTTCAGCCTCCTTCCGCTTCCCAGGGGCCTTGCAGCAGCACGTCACTGCTGAGCACTTCAAGCAGACAGAGAGCACTTTTACTTGTGGACTGTGTGGAGAGCTCTTCCCCACTCAGGAGCAGCTGGAAGGTCACTACAGAGCTGAGCATCCCAACGTGGTGTTTGCAGAAGCTCAGGCCACCACCACGCAGATTGTGCAGGTAACTGACTGCTCCAGGGGTGGCTGATAACAGGGGTGCTGGGGTAACTTCATGTAGGGGCAGCTGTAGTAAGACTCCAGAGTTGGGGTGCTTATCCACTGCCATGACATTCCATCCTTCTCCCATCTCTCTATCCTCCCAGCCCTGTTCTTTGCACCAGTTGGCATCCCCGCCTTCCCTTTTTCCACTCTGTGGTTCTACCTTCCCTTCAAACTCTACTTTGAGGGAGTATAATAAGACCCATGTCTGACAAGCTCTTAGGTTGCCTCTGAATCCAAGGATGGTGGCACTTAACTAGACTTTTAGATACTCAGTGCACAAGGGCAGTGGGGGGTCACGGGAAGAAGGAGCCTTGACTGGATGTTAGTTCCTTAACCCCAGTCTGGGTTAGTTCGGGGGTGAAAAGTTGAGGCTTCCTTTTGGGTGCCCTGGTGAACAGACATTCTCCCAGTTCCTGATGCACACCCCTTATATACCTATTGGCTGCCATCAGATCACCCCTGAGCCTGCACTTCTCCAGGCTGAAGAGTCCCATGCCTCTCAGCCTCTCATAAGGTCGGTTCTCTTGACCTCTGATTATGTGCATGGCTCTCTTCTGGACTCTCAAGTTTCTCCACATCCTTTGCTCTTGGAGACTGGAGGAGGAAGGGCTGGCAGGAGTTGCAGAGCAAGCTGGTCACTCTTGGAAGGCTCTGCTAGAATCCAGAGGACTTCCCTGTCTAGATTATAACTATTTTGCAGAAAGCCAGATTTTAGGGCTGGAGTAGCAGACCCTCTCCCTCTCCCTCTCCCTCTCTCTCTCTCTCTCTCTCTCTCTCTCTAATACTGCAGCTATCAGTAGAAAATAACTGTTTGGACGTGGGAGCCCAACATGCAAGATTCCCTGGGCTGATGATCCGCTAGTGTGTAATCACCGCGTCTTTATAATCTAAGACTACTTATGGTGCTAAATTATAGCAATTTTGTGAAGAGAAATATTTAAATTGCTTTTCTGTCTTCTCTTTTGCATCACTGGTGCCTGCAACTCAGAGCTTCCCATTAGGGCTCACGCCTATTGCAATTGCACTCCTCAGGTGTGAAAGTAAACGCTGTCACAGGAGTGTGGGCTGGGGACACTTCAGCGGAAAACGTGCTGCAAACATCTCCTTAACTCTTGAGTTGTCTCCCATGCAGGTTATTCAGACAGCAGAACAAGGAGCAGAAGGAGAGCATGTGATCACCTTGGATGAGGCCGAGCTTGCTGGATCCCAGGTCTTTGTGACGTTGCCAGATTCCCAAGCTAGCCAAGGTGGCTCGGAGCTCGTGGCAGTGACTATGGAGGATCTGTTTGATGACAAAGTCACTCTGATTTGTGAAGAAACAAAATGAGGTAGCCTGGAGCACCTGTGTGATGCATCCAGAATTGCTTGGCCACCTCCCCAGCCATTACCATCCATGTGTACCACTTGGGCCATGAGATGCAGACTTATTCCAGGAAACTACTGGGATTTGTGACACTGGCAAAAGAAGTGAGGGGCTGCAAGCACAGCAATCCCAAGAATATGGGAGATCAGCAGTGGGAACTCTTTGGGAGTCATGGAGCCAGGGTGGCTTCTTTTCCTAGCACGAGTGGTGGGCAGCAGCTGGTGCTTCTGAATGATCTGGGCCACATGTCCTCTCCAGCCCCAGGAAAACAGCTTGTGCAAGAGAAAAGGAAATAAATGACGCACAGCCAAGCAAAGGCCTAGCAAGGGCAGAGCTGGGGAGAGACTGGGGAAATTCCAGGGGCAGGAGAGGCAGGGAATCATACACAGAATCAGAGGTGTTGGTGTAGGGCAGCAGAGCGAGGAATAGATGAACATTTGTCCAGAAGGAAGTCACCATGAAGGTGATCTAAGCTGCGCTGCAATGAGGAGGACAGATGCCCCTGGAGGAGGCGCAGCATGAAAAGGCTGGGCACAAGCTGGGCGAATGCTTGCAGGACCGTGGACAGTGTGAGTCTGGGCGGTTTCAGCCATGCCATGTTCTGCTCCCTCCCAGATGGTTACATTTCTCCTTAGTTCCTCTAGAAAATATGGCCAAAGCAGGGCCTTCTTGGCCTCCACTCCAGCAAAAACTTAAAATGGGTCTGTCAACCTGGCAAAGGGAAAGCCAAAACTTAATCATGAGAAGCGAAACAAGCCTCCAGGCCACCTGGGGATGGCAACTGGTGGCGGTGGATGGGTGGGGGCTCTGGACCAAGCAGGTAGAACAAATCATTGTTCACAGTGACAGGCTGTGGAGAGGCCTCCCGTTGCATGTGTATATAAGCTGTCTCTGCTGTTGAGCAGGAGCCTGCTGTGCTGTCCTTCTGCCAACGTGGCAGGGACCCAGCTTCAATCTCTCCTATATCCCAAGGGCCAAACTCTTGCAAAATAGGGGAGGGAGGCAAAACCTGCAGTGTCTCAGCAAAAGGCCTTACCTCGGTGTCATAGAGCCTTCTTGGGAGAGTTGGCTGTTCACCTGCCCCATCGCTATCATCCCTCCAGGGGCGGGGGGCTTAAAACTGCCTGGAGCTTCTCTCCTTATAAAAATAGCATGGGGAGCTCCATGGCAGAGGCAAGGAAAACAACTTAGGGCAGTCCTGTGTGTGTGCAGCTGCCTTCATTAGTTTGTCTCCAGGATACATTAGCAGTTCCTGATGTCAGGAGACCCTAATCCTAACCAAATCACTGCCAAGGCTGTGAGCACGGGGCAGCTCTGGGGTCAGGCCCACATTTGGATGGTGACAGCTCGTATCCCCTTTGTGAGAGGACAAAAGCCCTAAGACTGCCTGCCTTCCCCTTTAGCTTGATGCAGAAGCTGTAGCATTAGAAGAAAGCATCTAGTCTGGGTATGGTGGCCCATCATTTCTTGAGTGCTTAATACCATTACCAGTGAGCTGGCACTAACGCAAGTCTTCCTGTCTGACACATAATGGCTGCCACCATTGCACACAGCCATTCCCCTTCCGGCTACCTTGCACAAAGCTCAGCCTGTCTGTGCCAGCCTGGTACAACACTTCCATTATAGGGCATTGGCCCCTTTAAGATTAAATTTCACAAAGCTTTTTTATCTGCAGTTTCCTAAAATATAATCTGATAATTAATGGTTTGCTGAATCCATTATGAAGTGCAATTAGATGGATGCAGGGTTCCTGCAGCTCCGAGGGAACTAGGAGCATTTATCTTCCTTTCCTTCATGCCAAAAGGTTGAACTCTGCCACTGCAATATTTACATACTGAGCAATGATCCCCACCGTCTCTCACAGACTGAGCCCCTGTGGTGAACAATGCCCATCTAATCACACTGCCCAGAGCCACATGAGTGCAGAAAATGAACAGCTTTCAGCTTGCCAGCAGCATCTTGTGCTAGCTGCTCCTGGCCACTAACCAGAGCCTGTTGTAGTCGAAGGGCCCAGCCACTTACTATGCTCCTTCTGCAGTGTGGAGGATAAAGCAAGCAGCCCGGACAGCGTGTTTTGCTGAGGGCAAAGGCGCAGGAGGACAGACATTCCTTACAGCGAGAGTCTGTGAGTAACAGCAAGTGTGTAATCTCCCTGCAGTGCGTTAGTGAGGTGCTCCCACCTCCATCTCTCCTGCACACACGCAGTCTCTCTCTAGGGTTTTGGGGAAAGAGCAAACAAGCTTCATGCATCGTTTAATCCCAGAATGGCCAGGAGATGGTGCTCACAGTCTTGAGAATTAGTTGCCATGGAAAAGTGTCTTGCTGAGGCTCCCCTTGGCCCTTTTGACATTGCAAGCAGACCCAGAAAGCACTGGGCCCTCCTGGGAATGGACCAGCTCCCTGTGGGCTAAAACACTGTCCTGGCAAGATTACGTGGCATGAACTTGGTTCAACAAAGCTTGAAGTCAGGGTTCCTCCACCCCTGCCAAGGGAAGGTCAAAATGTTAGTCCTCGCTGTCAGCCGCAGGGAAAAGGTCCACGAGCACCTATGCAGGAAAAAAAGAAATATCAGTGACACTACATAACATCAGATCAGTAAACCGGTCACAGAAGGGAGGCAGATTAAAAAAAAAAACAAGCTCAATGTCCAAACCTGAAGGAAGGAAAAGGTCTAATATACATTACTTAACTAGGGGAGTGTGTCTGAAGTGTTTTAGGGAGCTTCAAGGTGTAAATGTGCTCACAGAAAAATCTACGTGGAGTTCGCTCCTGGGAACAGCACAGGAGAAGCTAAGGTGAGTGCCCACCCTCCTGGATCCATCTTGACGTTCCTCCACAGCACCAGCGCCTGTGCCCTGTAAAATTGGGCATGATTCAGAAGGTGATTTGTGCCAAAGAACTGCCCTGCCAGTGTGTGCTGTGGCCTGCCATCTCCAGCTGTCTTCTTGAGATCCTAAGGCCCCTGAGCTCAGCGTGTTTCTCCCAGGGGGAAACCCTTTCCTCACTTTTTCTCTCCTCCCCGTTCAGGGCCTGGGCACTCTTTATGCTGCACAGCAGTCTCTCCTGCTCCATACGGCAGCAGGCTGAGCTGAGTTTTCACCTGAGCCCTTGTTAGTGTCGAGAATAGTTGGTGTCAATAAAAGGAAGTTATGGTGCTGACATCCTCTGCCTCCCCCCAGACTGTGAAAATGGCATTTCATTTTCCACCCTAATGTTGGAAAAACCAAGCATGTAAGAGCATGCTCCTGTGTTTGCATTTTATGAGCACCTTTGAGAGTGAGCCTTGAGCTGACGTACTGAAGCAAGCCCCGGTGAAGAGGCAGGACAGTGGGTTGTGCTCTATGGCTGAAAGTTGAGAGGAAATGAGCAATTTAGAAGGGATCACTGATGAACAGGACCAGTGTGTGGCTCGCACGTGCTCAGTGGGGTACTCCATCTCCCCTTGACTGGTGAGGCCATACAGCTGGAAAGCCTCCCATAGCCTTAGCTAACAAAGCTCCATCTTCCTCTGCAGGTTGTTGGATGCAGAGGTCCCCAGTCCAGTCTTTGCTGCAGACAGACTCAGAAGTGTCTTAGTACTTTTGCAGTGTGTGAGCAGAGGGGTAGATGTGTTGGGGTGAAAAGCCATGCTGGGAATTTGGATCAGTTTGTGATAGGTTGCCCCTTTTCAGAGTGCTCACTGCTGCAGGAGATAAGGACAGCAGTAATGATGAAGGGCTTGGCTGGATAGGAATGCACTTACTGGAAGTGAGTTACTGCAGAAAACCTGGCTCTGCCTACAGCCTTGGCTGTCACCTCCGTCTTCAGCATCAGTCAGGGGTCGCTCCGCAGAGGAGGCCTGCAGCAGCAGCAGCCCAGCGCAAGACCTGAATCAGGCTGCATATCTATCTCCTCTTGTACAGCTGCATCTCTCCGCTCTGCCACCAAACTCAACAGCTGAGTTCACCCAGACACACCAGCACACACGTGAAGGCTGTTGAGCATCCTCAGTTGATTCAAGCTCCTCACACCAGCTCCTGCACTGCTGAAACATGCAGGTCAGAGCCTGCAGCAATGTTTTAATGAGAAAGGCATTTTTCAGGGTGTCCCTCAGCCTGGAGGATGCGAGACATAAGCTGTTGATCACTGACGAGGTCTTATGATGCTGCATTGGTTTTCTCTTGTGAAATAAAGTCTTGAAGACGAAATGCGTAACTGGTGTGTGATGCAAACAGATCCCTTGGAAGCAAAAGGTGCTTGTCAGCAAACCAGTGTGCACCAGTACCCTCTGCCTTTTCCAGGCGTTGGGTAGAAATGGACAGTTATTTATGTCAGTGGTTCTCAACCGGGAGCAGTGTGGCACCCTGGGGGCATTGCAGTGGCAGCAGCCAGGTTAAAGCACCCCGTGTGCTCCCCTGCACGAGGGCTCTGAGTAGCCCCAGCAGATGGGTGGCGCTGCCCCATGCGGGCCCGTTCCCGGGGGGAGCTGAGCCAGGCAGGTCCTGCAGCACACGGCCGCTCCTGCCTGCTGCAGGGTGCTCAGAGCCTGGTGCGGGAACCTCCATGGCATGGCCCTGCCTGCACGGGCGTGCGGGCGGCACGGAGATGAGCGAGGTAGTGCTGGTGGCGGCTCCCATCGTCACACCATCACCAGTAGGTGCCGGGACGTGGCTGAGACTTGGTGTATTGATTTCTGTCCAGTCTCCAAAATATTGTGTGGGACCTGGGAGTGGACTTGCAGGTGCAGGGAGCCCGACCTGAGAGGGACCTGGAGAAGCTGCAGTGCCCCAAGGGGAGAGGGGAGCAGGCCCCTGCAGAGGCCCAGCCCAGCCGGATTGCTTCCCACACACCTCGCGGCTGCTCGGGCCGCTGAGTATCAAAGGTTTCCCGTGAGCTCTTCTGGAGGAGAAGCCCTCACACCTTTTGTAAAGGAAGGGGTCAGGCAAGCTGAATGGAGGGGACGCCCTTCACGCTCCGTCCCTGTGGCTGCTGCTGTCATCCAATTAAATGTCAATCTGACTCGAAATCCCGGCATCTCCTGACTTCAGGGATATGCTGTGACAATGGGGTCCGCATTGATTATGTGTAATGGTAAAAATAATTTCCTTTCATCGAATCTGATGTCTCGTCTATAGGAAAGTGCGAATGGATACGTTCACTTTGCCTTCCTTACAACCTTCTTTATTACAAGGAGCAGGGGATCTAATTGCATTTGTACAGATCTGATTAAAAACGAGCTGGTTTATAATCCACGTAATGTGTTCCATATTGCCATTGCATAGGATTTGCTGTTAGCTTAAAAATTGATGGGGGTCCGTTATCAAACGGCGTTTTAGGAATAGGGTCAGAGTCCGTTCTCAGCCCTGTGTTATTTATAAATGCTGTGGAAGAAGATAGAAGATCAGTGTAAATAGTTTCCAGATCATACAAGGATCGGGTGATGAATAACCATTAGGACTGCTTACAGCAAAGTGCGGTCTGCGATGGCCAGATATTTAGCACCAATGAACAAGATGGGCCTTTACCAGCCGGGGTGTGCGTCCTGTAACTGTAGGAGGGTCGTGCAGCTCTGTGCAATTCTTCCTTGCCGCACGGTCAGGTCAGTGAGGGTCGGCACTCGCTGTGCCCCTGGGGGGTCTGCCGTGGAGCGGCCCTCAGATCTGGAGTAAAAAGACTGAGGAGCAGGAGGGAGCAGGAGTGGGGTTCCTCCTTGGATGGCTCATCAAAAGAAAAGTGCTTGCAGGTATTAGTCCCTGCCATACATTCAAGTGAAAATCTGTTACCAGCTACTTTATAAAGGAGCTGAAATACCTGAGCTGGCTGTTAGGCAGCTCCAAGCCTAAAAAACCTGGGGTTGTACGAATGCCCTGAAGAGCAACAACAGTGGTGAGGAGCCGCAGCAGCAGCAGCAGCAAGGGAAATATCGGGGCACGCAGAAGAGGTGAAGCCCTGAAAGAAGTGGTGCCAGCAAGGGATGGTGATCTCCAGCGACAGCCCCCAGTGGTGACAATCCCCAGGGGTAGTGAGGAGCAGTGGTGAACTCTGGTGCAAGCCTCCCTCCCCAGCACCTGCTGCTCTGGCTGGTGTAGGTGACTGCGCTGAGCGGCATCCCCTGGCACGAGGAGCTGGTGCATTAGGCAGTGACTGCGATGGTCTCAGCTGGTATTTAATGGATAAGGTTTCTTTTAAGGCCATGTGTTGTCTCCGTCCCTCATTGCTAAACACTGCTGTAGCTGACTATTGCTCGTGGGTGCGGGAGCGCGATCGCTTTGGAGCGCGCAGTTACAACTTATTTTCTGGATAGGGGGCTCGAATCAAAATAGAAAGTTTGCGTGAAGCTCCTAAATTTGACCCCAGCCCTTTTTACTGCCAGTGCCTGGCAGGAGATGGATGCTGGACTAGTACCTCGTTAAGCTATTGGCATCCTTCAACTCTTCTGTGGACAGCTGGAGCTGATTGCTGTATTAACTGGAGAGGAGGATGGGGCATGTGGTACTTATTAGTATAGCAGAGCTATAATACCTTTTATTCTGAAGAGGCCCAGATAGTCTTCTCGATAGTGCATCCAAAATATCTCAGCTGGGATGAGAAGCAAGCGATTGTTTCCCTGCACCAAGCAGCGCTCTCTGATGGGAGGTACGAAGTGAAGACGAATAGCACAGAGCATGCAGGAGGAGTTTGGGGAGCCGGGGATCACCCAGCGTGGGCTGTGACAGGAAGAAGGGCTAACATTCCCCAAACGTGCAAAAGGCATCTTGGTATCTTCAAGCAGGTTAATACAGAGCAGACACCTGTGAAGCCCTGGCGCCGTGCGGATTCACTGGCACGTACCACCTACCAACCAAAAATACTTCATCGGCACATAGGTTTTCTCTGGAGATCTCCACGTAAAGCTCAGGCCCAACCTCGTATTGCTCATGGGGTTTGACTTAGGAAGGAACCCACGCAGTGGCAAGCTCGCAGCTGACTTCTCCTACGCCTTCAAATTTAGCAAGCAAGTGGCAGATAGGATGGCATAGTTGAGAGCGCAGCTGGAGCCTCGCTGCTGGCATTTGTCTGCTGCCTCTGATATTTGCACTCGTACTTCCCTCCTCCTATTGCACGCTCTGTAGAAGGCTGTCCGGCTCCTGCTTGCCTAATGCCAGATGTTGCAGACATGACTTGGCATTTGGCAGGTGACTTGGTGAGTGATTGCTCTGAACTTTGGCGGGGCGGATCTGGTAAGCAGCAGCAGGATGTGCAGTCTCGGTGGTGCTGGGCCACTTTCCTGAGACCGAACGGAGGCTGCAGCCCTGCTGCTCCCATCAGCAGCTTCAGATTCCTCTGCCCAACAGGCCCGTGCGGTACCACGCGCTGCTTTCTTCACCTTCTGTCTTCTTCCTGGCTAGACCTTTGCTGCATGTGGGAAGGGGCTAGGCTCCGGGCAGAGATGCAGCGCTGCCCCCGGGGTGCTGGGAGCTCACCTTGCTGTAGCGATCGAACACAATTTCCTTTCCCGTGTAACAAGCCCTTTGCCACAGGTTCTGGTCACAGCAGGTGCTTGCAGGTGCAGGCTGAGAGCCACTGATTAGATGCATCAGCACAATTTAAAGCCAGGGAACAATCATTTCCCCTCAGGAGAAGTTTACTCAGAGCTGTAATTGGGGACTTCTAACCGGTCTCGTTGTAAAAGTGCAAGCGCTTCAGCTCCCCCTGCTCTGGGGGGCACAAAGGTTTTAAAGCAGCAGAGCCCCCATCGCCTTGCATCGGAGCCTAAATCCCAGCGGCAAGGTTGTTATGCTGCAGTGCGGAGGAGTGAGTGCAGCCGATGTAACCGCATCCGGGCTGGCTTTAATTGAGTGAGCCGGTTACATGTCGACATGGAGATCCATGGCAGGGCTCCGGCAATGGTCCTGGACTACTCAGGTGGCTCTTTGCTCCGAATCGCATGCCACGACGTCTCCCTGGCTCTTGGCTCGGCAAGTGCCGCAGTGGCACCTCCAGCCGCGGTGCGTGCGTGTAGGGTATGCCCTGAAGGTCGCCGAGCACGGCCCCAAAGGCAGCGGGTGCCATGCCACGGGGCAGTGCCTCTCCTGGCATGGCTGGGCAGCCTCCCCTGCTAGCCAGAGCAGGGTCAGGGTAAGGTTCATAGGCAGCCTGCCATGCTCGTGTCCCTGGGGGAGGCCAACGAGGTTTTCTCATCCCCTCCAGACACTGTTTTCTCCCATTTAGCCTCAGGGTGCGGATTGAACAGCCCAGATGCCATTCACAAAGGGGCCTGCTCGGTCTCCACAGATCAAGGTTTCCAAGGGGTTAATGCAACCACCCCACATGCCCTACCCAGGGAATCCTGCTTCCCCACGCTAAGGGGTGTGTGGATACGTGCTCTGCCAGCAGCCGCTACAGGACTGCATTGAGCGTGAGTGCGACTGCACCCCGGGTCCGAGCGGTCCTCCGGCCGGAGCACCCTGCATGGCAGAGCGGGGATGCATGGGGCAGCGCGACCTGGAGCTGGAGGTGTCCGTGGGGAGGCGGGTGGCTGCGATGCAGTCAGCCAGGAACGCGTCTCCCCGTGGCACACTGAAGGCGGGCATACGTTGCTACCACTTCTAACATCCTCCTCGTTTCGTTCCAGATGGATTCCGGATGACTGACAGGCAGAGCTATCTCCAGGCTTTCTTGAGCCATCTCCTGGAGTGACGCTGCTACCAAAGGTAAATGGCTTCTCCGCGTCTCGTGTTTGTTCCCAGCAGGTCTCTGGCTGCCCAAGTTCGAGTTTGGAAGTGCCCTGCCTGCTTGCTGTAAAATCCAGCGGCAAACTGCCTCGGTCTCCGACCCTCTCAAGGCCAAATGCAGCCATTTGAGAGATCAGAGCACCTGACTTATAGACGGGAGCCTTTTTTATTTCCCTGAAGGCAGCGCTTTCAGTGCCAGACCCTGTAGCCGGCAGGGTGAAGAGGTTACACACCCTGCACAGCACTTGTCTGCAGGATTTGATTTGTGTCTTTGTCTTAAAGAGGGCACTTCTCTGCCTTCCACCGTGTTTGCTCCGCAGGCGAAGGAATGGGGAGTTTTGTGTTAGTGAACCAATTGTTTTACCTCTGTTTGATCCCGATCTGCCCGTGGTACGTGTCTTCTCTGGATGTTTGACGTGTTCTAATGGGAAGTTTGACCCCCAAACTCAGATTTGCAGGGCAGAAGGAACCGTTAGATCATCTTC